TGACAAGATATAAATCTGACTGTCATTCTCCCTAGTGTTATTTTTTGCATCTCGCTTACAAAATTTCGGACTTTGTAATTCCTCCAATTCTTATTTCAAAAATCTCTTATTCGAAACTTTGAATAGGAAAATGTGATACTTTGTCTCGATGGTTGATGGTTTATGGTAAGCCATTATTCTTCTAACATTTTCAGATGTATAATATACATAGATACGGTAACTAGATTGCTGTGGCCAAAATCGGGACATTTCTAAAGCATCGAATCCGAACATATAATTTTGTTTTTAGAATAAAAAACATAATATCTTTCATGATACAAAAAAGAAGGTAGTTCCATTTGATGACATTCGTTGTTGTTGTTAACCATTTGACTTTTAATAAAATTATGACATTTCATCAAATTCATGCTACCTGATCACTAGAAGAAATATTTTTTTTAAAGCAGAAGATTTTATCAGTACATTCAAAGATATGGAATATGATGGACTTGAAAATTATGCCGGCTACATAATTTCGAAAATGGGGTTGACGATTAAGTTTCAGAACGCATGAAGAAAGTGATAAAAATTATACTTACATATCGTCGTTTAAAGTACAAAACCGCGTATCGTCGTTCTGCAAAACCGCGTAACCGACATTTTTTGCCAAAAATTGAATTCGCTCACACAAGCTCTTGGCTCAAGCCTTATCCATTCGTCCTGAAACTAAACAGAAATGCTATTGCTTTGTAAAAAAAAGAACGATCTCGAAATATGAGATTGTTTACTCTCTAGAAAATAATTTATGCAACCTCACATACGCAGTTTTGGATTTTGTTGATACGCTGTTTTGTTCTTCATACGATGCACATAGGGGTATTTAGCCGATTTATGCGGCCAAAATTATTTTTATGAATATTTCAACTCGAAATGTTTAGAAAAGACGTGTTATGACATATAGAATTGTAAATGTTTAAAATCAAGTAGGTTAAAACATTAACAAAGTTGCCACCTGTTAAAAAATTTTGTTCAATTTGTTATATGAATTGCTGCAATATGGGTATCAATGAAAATGGGTTTGAAAAGGCTTTATCTCTAAGGAACCTTCCAGGGTTTAAAAAATCAAATTCAACTTTAATTGAAGGAATTAAATAATTCAAATATGAATCACAGGATAGGTGAGAAATGGGTGTATTCGTGGCGCAATTAATGCGGCAGTGTTACTCTTTTATGATAGAGTATCACGTTCTACGCGAAAATTTGGACGAATAAAATTTTGACAATCAGTTACTCATCATTGGCAAATCAAAAGCGACATATACATTTTTACTGCGCAATTTCTGCAACATTTTAGAAAAGTTGAAGTT